GTATATGTATATGTATATGTATATATACATATATAATTATATATATATATATATATATGTATTGTGTAAGGTTTTCGTTTATCATGTTGTCATTCCTACCTATATCATTGTCTGTTCTACCGTTGTTGGTATTTGGGTCATTCATTGTTGTAGGTATACGTGTGAAGTACTTCCGTCAGTACACAGTGAACACACCCATTTGTCACTTGCTGTTCTAAATATATATATTTTCCGATGCAGCAAGCATCACTTCGCACATCTAACTGGATTCTGTTTCCATTTCACTCGCTAATTATCCGGGTATGCACTTCCGCTACCAACACCTCAATACCCTAATCTGATTGGCTGCTATTATATCTCCCTGGCAGGATGGTGGGGCGTGTGTTTGCGTCGCCGTTTGTGTCCGTGGGCTTCGCTGATTTCTGGTTGGCAGATCAGTTCACCAGTTGTGTGTCGATGTTTCTCGACTTTGAGTTCGGTATCTGCCACTACGCGCTCTACTATGCCGGACACCACCGTAAGTGCACTATGTCGTGATAATTTGCGATATAATTAGAGACGCACTATGCGACATTGCGATGTGTGGGTGTGCTGTGGTCCATCTTTGCGAGACTAAACCTTGCATCGTGATCCAAACCACGCAACAACCGCCTTCAACATATCTGCGCAAAAAGCATATAATATACGACATAGTCGTTGCCTTGCTGCTATTTACGACATTCAATATTTGTGTGGCCAGCCCCCGCATCTACCCTCGGCACAGCGCACTTGACTACGCCGGTCATCTACGTGTACCGTATAATTTACGACAATTTAGTTCATACGTTCCTACGCAGGATGAACATTTCGCACAAACCAAAAACCCTAAGTCCATTAAGACCCAAAACCATATAACCCTAAAACCCTAAAACCCAGGCCTAGCGGATAGCTCCACGTGCAGCAGCAATCGATGGCCCATCCGCGCATTCATATACGTTCTACCAGGTGAGTCTGTGTCGGATATTCTACTTGGTCTTAAATTCTGTGTGTGTTATATTCTCATCTCTTTATATGGTCATGCAAGTCTGAGTCGTCAGTCTTATTGTCTCAAATTCCGTGTGTGTTTTTAATTCCTATGGTCTGTGGCTGCGGTTCCTGTTGTTTTAAAGTGTGTTGTAATTCCGTCGGTCTGTTTTAGCGTTTACTGATAGTGTTTGACCTCTGTGAGCGTTCACATGTGTTCTTATGCATACTCGCTTCCCATTGGCTGCTAATTTTGTGCGGATAATATCTATTTACATACATTTTTGTACTGACAATGACCATTTATATACAGCCTGGTTCCGATTCGCACAATGCCTGAGACGTTACTTCGATACGGGCTCAGCATATCCGCATTTAGTAAACGCCGGCAAATACACGGCCAGTCTTGTGGCTACAATCTTCCTAATACTCGATCAGGTGTGTACTATATATATATATATAAATATATATATATATATATATATAATGCATATATATGTATATATATATAATATATAATATATAATATATATATATATACATACATATATATATATATATATATATATATATATATATGTTAGTTTCGGTTT